ATAAATGTTTGTCTTTTTCTAAAATGTAAAAAAAGGAATTTATTTGTTTTTCAGAATCCAGAATGTGTTTTCTGTAGAATGAATTCTGCTTTAAACACCCATTTGGTGCTGTTATTGATGGTGTTTGCCCAACTACCTTCTTCCTTTACTAAAGGTAACTAAGTGAATCCACAAAGCTATCTTGAAGCATTTTGTTTGTAAAGGCAAATATGAATGTCAGTTGCAGTTTTTAGATTAGTTTCATTTGCAAAGCAGTGGCTACCAGGTTATCACATTCCACTGTTCTCATATTTAATTTTAAATATTCAAAAATAACTATTCATGATCGATCACTTTCTGTCACCCAACTCTAACAGAGCAGAGTTATAACTCTACAGTCTCTAAACCAAAAAAATAATTATTATTATTTTTCTTTCTCCTGTCTCAGGTACCATTCAGGTAATTGGTTCATCTCACCCAATAGTTGCTTTAGTGGGTGATGACGTCATACTGCCATGCTATTTGAACTCCTCCATAAGTGCCTCAGACAAGACGGTGGAGTGGACAAAATGCAAGCTGGATCCCAGATTTGTTTATGTGTGGCGTGATGGTGGTGAACTGGAAAGTAAAAAGAATCCCTCCTACAAAGGATGAACAACAGTATCCCTTCATAAATTAAAGCTTGGAGACATTTCACTGAATCTGTCTAAAGTGAGACTTTCTGATAGGGGAAGATATAGATGCTTCCTTCCAGATATGGGTGAAACTTTAATGGAGCTCATTGTTGGTAAGAAATATCTGATATTTATCAATCAAAGAAGTGGTTTAAGCTTAAACTCAAATACAAAGTATCGCCAGACATTAGCATTATATAACAGAAAAGTAGTTTCTATTCATATGAAAAAGTCTGTAAATGTGCAGCCAAATTGATCTCTTATTTGGAGTTCCTCTTAATGAAATCATGGTGCACTCTGCCAAAGGAATATTGTGTGCTTCATCTTAGGGGCTGTATCCCTACCTGTAATATTGCGTGTTCAAAAAGCCAAGACTGGAGTTGCATTACAGTGTGAGTCTGCAGGCTGGTATCCACAGCCTGAGCTGCTGTGGTTGGACGGTGAGGGAAACCTCCTCTCTGCTGGACCTACAGAGACCCTCAGAGGTCCTGATGACCTCTATACTGTCAGCAGCAGAGTGACTGTGGAGAAGAGACACAGCAACAACATCACCTGCAGAGTCCAACAGAGG